GCATACCGGATGCGCATACCAGATGCGTATACCGGGTGCGTATACCGGGTGCGCACGCGTATGCCGGGTGCGCATACCGGATGAGCATACCGGATGGGCATGCTGGATGCGCATACCGGATGCCCATACCGGATGCGTATACCGGGTGCACACGTGCATACCGGGTGCGCATACCGGATGAGCATACGGGATGCGTATACCGGGTGCGCACGCGCATACTGAATGCGCACCACTGCTGCCTGCCAAGACACAGTGCTTCGATTGAAGTGCAGCAACTGTCGAGAAACCGATGAAAGTGTTTTTCATTTCCGTTTGTTGACGTCATACACCTTACGAGAGTTTCCCAAGGCGAGTCTTTTTTGCGATCAACTCTTGGTTCTATCGCGCTGTCGGGCGGTGACACAGTCGTCCTTGCCCGGACACATCCGGCTGACCCGGTCCGACTCGTAAAACAGCTTGACCTTCTTCTTGTCCGCGTCAGGAATGTTCAGGCCTGTCTTCGCTCCAGAGACCTCTAGCAGAAGACCACGTGTCTGTTTTGGCTGGAGGTTCTTCCTGACCATGCACAAGGATACGGGGTCATCCTTTGCTTGTGCCACTCCAGATAAGATGACAGCCCTTCGCATTCGCAGCTTTTTATTTTCACGGCGTGATAAGTGGGCTGGAAAAACGGCTCATTGGCAATCCGCTTGTGACTGGGGAAATGTGGGCATACACTCGCATTCCAATGCATCAAAAGATGCAACTTAGGCAATATTTCTAGATTCTTCGCAGTAGCGTCGCCAGGCTACCTTGCTTGTGCCCCCTCCCCCTCCCCAACTCCGTAACATTGCCATCGTCACGCGATCGGGTCTTCTGCGAGGATGAGAAACGTGAATTTTTATTTTTGTTTTACATGACTATATGTTTACTTGCTTATTCGTACTTCACTGCAATAACATTTACACTCAAGTTTGCCGGAAGCCAGGGCATGCCTCACTTAACCCGACACTTTTTCCCGCTTGTATGACAAAAATACTGTCAAATGATGCATCTTCCCACCCAGTGACATGCTTGACGTCAACGATTTTTGCTTCAGAAATACTACATCCCTTACACGTGCCACAACAGATTACGCTTAGAACGATCGTAAAAACAGCCGCGTATGTTTATTTTAGAACGAGCATGCAACTTTTTTAAGAAAAGCGTGTTGCAATTTTTCTTGTGATGGAAAAATGTTTCGTATTTCTGCATTAAACAAAAATCATTGTAGATGTCGAAAAGGTCAAAGTAGGTCACGTGACCTTTGGTCACGTGACCCACTTTGTTTTGTTTTTTGTTTTTGATCTACCTTGTTTTACTACGGTTTTCAAGATAAAATGACAAAATTAGAAGTAACCAAGAGATGCACTGCCTCATTACAAGTTTAGTGGTCACTAGTTTTGTATAATTTAGATGATTATTGATTGTGTTAAAGGCTCCCAAACACGCCGTTGTTAGCTGACCTCTAACAAATGCCTGAGGCCATAGCTCTCCGACCATTGTTCTGACCTTTCTCAACATTGCACAGTTGGACTTAGGGTATAAGACAACCCGCTAGAAACATTTTCATCGAAATATGAAATATTGGCTGTCATGCCTCCGTCGATTTGTCGTGGAACTGCTGTGTTTGTGCAAACTGGTTTCGCCTTAAACATGGTCATCAACTTCACCACCGTGTTCACATCACTTCAGTGGACCAGCGGTCTGGGGGAGGGGGGGGGGGGGGGAGGCTGTCATTGGCGATGTCTATGGCCTTCAGACTGAAGCGCTGCTTGGCTTTGCACACACGAACCCACGCCCCAAGGCAGCTCTTGAGCGGCGTCGTTTCTGACAAATCATTTTGGAGCAACTTCTTTTTCAAAGTTTACGATTGCATGACAATGTTCGAGTTATCGGGGTACGCTGAGCACCAGGAACTAGATTCAGCGATACAAAACATGGGCGCGGCATTGAAACCATCATATGGATCGACGCTTAGCCTCGCCGGAAATGTTACCCACATTTGTAGACAACAGTAACGTGTCATGCTACATGCACGTTGTTCTGATGCATGAACCCCCAGTGCCATCTACGCCATGCATAGCAGCATCGCCATACTTCCTCACTGTTGCACGTTTTCCTGATGATGTGTTCAAATAGCACCGCATCGTGCAATGCCGGCGCCCGGCGGCGGGTCTAGATGGGCTGTTTTCACGGCTGTCGGACCATACGGGGTTTGTTCAGAACCCACCCATCAAGCATTCAGTGGCCGACCTGACAGTAGGCACCGCGTGGGCAGCTGACATTCGGCGCTGCAGTGCGAGGCAGGTCGTTCGGAGGTCTTCGGCACCCATCATTCAGCGTCGTGGCTCTATGCTCCCAATTACGCTTTCCATCTTCGCGTGCATAATGCAGGCTGTCCATAATGTGACGGCTCCAACTACCGGCGCTTCCATTGAAAGCAGTGTCCGTTGAAATTATGACCCGGTCAAACAGCCACGTTGTTCGCGCGTCCATGCTGCGGACGGCGCGTCGGTACGAGCTGCGCGCGCCGCGTGAGCGGGCGAGCGCAGCTGCGGGTCCAGACCACGGGCGGCGGTGGCCGCGGCCCCGTCTCAACGTGACGCGACGGCTCAGACGTCACACCGGCGCGGCGTGACGACCAGCAGTCACAGCGATGATGGGTCTTGTGGGCCGGCGCCTTACCGCCGAGGGTTGGGGTCAGAGGTCAGCACCGGCACCCGGATCGCCCGAGGGCTGGGGTCAGAGGTCAGCACCGGCACCCGGCTCGCCCGAGGGCTTGGGTCAGAGGTCAGCACCGGCACCCGGCCCGCCCGAGGGCTGGGGTCAGAGGTCAGCACCGGCACCCGGCCCGCCCGAGGGCTGGGGTCAGAGGTCAGCACCGGCACCCGGCCCGCCCGAGGGCTGGGGTCAGAGGTCAGCACCGGCACCCGGCCCGCCCGAGGGCTGGGGTCAGAGGTCAGCACCGGCACCCGGCCCGCCCGGGGGCAAATCGGACCCGGAGATGGCCGCCCGGCGCGCCGACGCGCCCCGCAAGGTGATGCCGCTGGTGAGTATGAGTCTTGACTGTTGTGCGTGTCTGGCAATGTTGATTTCGTCGTAAAGCTGCGATCGATGGCGTGTGCCCTGATTGCTACGGGAACGTATCAGTTCAGATGTTACCACTAGAAGCAGCGGCGCACAACGCTTGTCATAATCGTAAATGATCTCAGTCGACTCCGTCATTTCGGCCGGAATGCCGGATGTAAGCGGTGGAGAGCCCGGGAACTTTAAAGGGAAGGGCAAGAAAGAACGCTGAAACGCAAGACAAGAAAGAAAGAAAGAACGCTCGGAAAGAACGCTGAGGTCGAACTACACATAAAATATCACAGGGAATCTTGTATGACGAGAAGGAAGCTATCCGTAAGTCATGCTTTGTGGCGAGTCGCACGATAGGTTAGGGGGCGGCCATTGGCATGTAATGCCTCAGATGTCCATTAAACTGGGCACTGGTGAAATGACGTGCACGAGGTTATATCTGACCAACCATGCTCGCCACGACAGTGGACGATAAAAATTTTATAACGTCGCATACGGATTGAATTTGAAATAGCCGACCTACGTGGTCCCGCAAAGCGAAAAAAAACGAACAGAACAAAACCACCTATTGCCAGAGACACGCTGAAGACGCACAAGACTGTCTATACGCAAGAACACGCAGGATGATGCAGACCCGCCAAAACTGCCTGAGGTCAAAGGCACGACCTGCCAGGCAAACTGACCGCATTCCACAATGCGGCCTCGGTTGATCATTGGAGCGACCTGCAGACGCCAACTGTGGACTACCCAGGAAAAAATTCGCTAAAGCAGCAATGACATTTCGTAATTTTCTCTTTACGCAGGCGTCACGGTGGTCGTTGTTTGGGCGAGGCAACAGGCGCTCTGGTTCTAGAAAGTTTCCAATTTTTCTCCTAAATTTCCTAGCTTCTCTATGCCTCGAATAGCATGTGACCTCCCACCTAGTATGACGACGAATATGCTTTTAGGCATGCACCTCAAGTCCAGAGTTCCTCAGCTTGCTTGTCCCTAGCGACAGTACTAAGACGTCAACGATAGTCTGCTGATAAATGGTACTTTGAGTAATGGCGGACGGATTTCAGTAATGGAGTAATGGATTTCAGTAATGGAGTAATGGATTTCAGTAATGGAGTAATGGATTTCAGTAATGGAGTAATGGATTTCAGTAATGGAGTAATGGATAAAAATGGCACTGTCCCCGTTCAATGCAGTCTACTTGCGTTTTTCTTTCGCGCGTTTTTTAGCGTAATTCCTTCACACCCCTGGATCCTACGAAAGTGCACATTCCTGATGCCTTTAGACCAGCCCTGCAGGACTAGATACATGCAGAAACATTGTGTAATTTACGTGCCATGACGTGTTGAAGTTATTCCGTAAGTCAAAGGTCGCATGCCAATGGCATGGTGCAAAGACACCATCGTTAAGTAGACGTCGACGCAACCGTGCAATGCGACAGTGACATTTCGATAACGCAATAAATCGACAATCCCATTGGATGATTCGTCAACGTCAACGTTACCACAACGACTCTACCACCTCCATTTTTGCAAGTGTTCAGTGCATTAACAAGGAACATTATTCACATAGATAAGGCAGTAGTAATAGCCTTATTTCTCGGAGAGAAACCAGGTCCATGGGCATGATAACCCATCTCCATTGGCATAACATGATTGCACCCAACTATGCCTCCATTCTCCTGGTTTTTCTCCGAGCAATAAGGCTATTACTACTGTCTTACCTAAATATTTGTGTGGAACGGCATGTAGTATGTAGGAGCATGTAGCTTTAAACGGCATGTAGGAGCATGTGTCTTTAAACGGCATGTAGAAGCATGTGACTTTGCTCTCCACCAATCGACTACCAGACACAGCCAGACCGACGGAAACCTCGCGTGCATTGGCAAACGAGGAGCGCTGTTCCAGATGCCGAGCAAGAAGGCCACCAGAGACTTCCGGCTGGGGCGGCGCCTGGTGGAGGCGGATCGACATCATCGGACGAGCCAGTGCGGCATAACCGGCCTATCGATCGTGTACGACTCAGGTGAGATGTGGAGGGTGCGATCTTTGAGGGTTGACCGATGGTGAATGATCGCGGTGTTTCACGGGAAAGACCGAGACACGCACGGGAAAATTCATGTTTTGTGGGGGAATTCGCTGTCTAGGCCCAAGCACCTCGTATGTTTTTGACTGCTTTGGGAGTAGTACTACATGTGGAACGTACCGTACCACGTACCATAGAAGCGAATAATTTGTACCCAGAATCATTTGCAACATCATCCGAATACACATTAACGTCGTGCAGTTATCAGCGAATGACATGTTACCAGAGAACCATATACCACAGTCAAGTCAAGTGATGTAAGTCCGCCATGGAGGGTATGCGAAGCGTGGAGCGCTTGACGTATTCATGTTCTGGGAAGAGCGCATCAGTCGATTTCTTATACAGCTGACGAACTAAATTCATTTTCAGCACAAATACGTTACATTCAAAGCGTAACAAAACTACACGTATTCATAATATAAGCACAAGTATCTCATCGAACTGGTGCTTGGTGTTGTAGTACCTTGAGAGGAGTAACCATTTAACTTTTTTGTGGCCAGGATTGAAGTACCTTATGGCAATATTCCACATTTGAGGATATTTAAACAACCATGAGATATGACGAAATAAGGTCACTGATAACTACTGGTATGATTTTAAGTGGAAAAGGCTGCTCTAGACAATACAATATCTCTATTTTTGAAAAGCTCCCAACACGTCATTGTTTGATTACGTCATCGTGCGTTACATGACATTGATTGAGAGCCTATTAACGACCGCTGTATCTGGAAATTGTGCTCACGAACACTAGATATGACTGACTCGACGTTTATAATTGTATCGGCTTTGATCACGCATGGCCAGTGGAACGACAATATGTAAATGTCGGTATTATGCTGGCATGGATGCCTGGGTGACCTTGAAAAAGATTGGAAAAACTTTGTTTTATCTCCACGGGCGTTAAGCTGAGAAAGTGGGGGGGGGGGTGGGGGGGTGGGGGTAGGTCTTGAGAAGGGCAGGGTGGTGCATTGCACCGAATGACCTCAAGATGGCTATTTTATTTCAAAACCCTTTACAAAAGGGGAACACTTCCCTTTCACTGCTCTGAGCCGCAACGAAATAAGTTTTTCTTTTATTTTAGCTCCTGTTCTGGAAAACAAAAGCGGCAACAACACATTCGTCAACGATTTTTGATTCTGTACATTGCATCCATGTAGTCATGTTAAGTGCAAAATAACTTCGTGGCAAAATGAGTTAGTGACGCCATGGCGACCCCGTGATCTTTGAGGACACTGTCCATGACCAAATCTGCTGACATCGAGCACCGATCGTGAACTGGTTAATCTGCGCGTGGAAATGTGCAAAACCAGAAGTACGGGGTTCGATTCCCCACGGTGTCTGCCTTTCCTGCCAGGGTGAGGGACAATTGACGACAATAAGTCCCAGCAGCTGAGTGCATCGTAAGCTCCCAATAGCGCACATATACTGAACATGGCGAGGTTTGTTTGTGGGCGGCAGAAGACGATCAAATGCCTGCGGAACATAGTCCCTAAGTTGTGTGATAAACCACGAACACCTCTAGGCAACAGCGGAATAAAAAAGAGGATCAGATATGTTCCGGATTCCAGAACTGCATTCCTGGGAACACGTTCCTAGCTCCTGGTTGCAGAACCAGAAGTAACCACGGAACCAGTCTGGAATTAGGTCGAGGAAACCAGCAGGAGTAAGGATTCAGTTTTATCCTGGCGCATTGCCAAAAATCCTGATAGATCCAGTCTTAAAAAGGGCATTGTTGTGAAGTGTGCCGAATTATCTTCAACACGGCTATATCACTTCTGAACCCCATGCAAGTATGGAAAAGCTTTCCGTAAGTTAGATGAAATGTTTTCGCATTACACCGTTTAGTAAACATAACATGCTGAACCAAACATGCTGAACCAAAGGTAATGGTATTGAGCTTGCCGCATTCTTTTGAACGATATGTTGTCTGCTACTCTGTTAATGTTGATCCGATATTATTTCTTGGTTGGGAGATAGATGCTTTTCATTTCGTTTTTTCGAATCAAACACCACAACCAGTGCTCGTTAGTCTATGCAAACCTTTGTAAATTTGCAATAGAGGTCTGCTTATTAGGTCTTCTCCGAGGCTTCATACCTTTTGAAACTCCCAAAGGTGAGAGGCCAGAGGTGGGGTTGGCATGCCCCTTGTCACTTCACATGAGTCAGTGGTACTAGCCACATCCCCTCCCTCCATGCACATGCACACGCACACGCATATGCGTATGTATATGCACACACACACGTGCACGTGCACACACACACACGCACACGCACACGCACACGCACACGCACACGCACACACGCACACACACATACACACACACGCGCACACACACACACACACACACACACACACACACACACACACACACACACACACACACACACACACACACACACACACACACACACACACACATACATTTTGACCGTAATTTCCCTCCAAAGGCGGCAAGTTGACCACAAGTTCATACCTCTCACTCGTTCTCTATGCGTACCACCTACGCGCCGTTTCGGATGCACTGTCCGTGTCATGTTTGGCGGCGTCCTTTTTGCGTTCCGTACATTAGACGCTTGAACCAAAGCAGTGCTAAAGTAGTCGTTAAACATGGAAAGCATCGAAACATGATATCTAGGGAAATGGTACGCCAAAGTTTCCCCCAAATATTGGGTGATGTGGTCACTATGACACTGAGCTTGCGGTTGTGGTGGACAAAACATGCTTACAAAATGGTTGCGAAATATCCTCCAACGGGCAATGTGACATCATGCCGCGTCACGTCATGCCACCACATGGCAGCATGGCAGCGTGAGAAACTCGTTGTGAAGTGCTGTGGCTGCTATTTCACTGCTCACAAATTTATTGTGCAGGAGTTCGATCACATCAATAGAACATATGCCCTGTTCGTGTGAAAGAGTTCGTTAGTTTTCCTGAGGACCATCAACTTGATTCGAAAACAGACGTTGAAAAGGAAGAGTTTCTATTAGCCAAAGAGTTGCAAAGTGAAGGTAAGAGAGGCGTTGGAAGGGCGGCGTCGCACACTCCGAGGTCGTCGTCGTCATCGTCGTAAACGCTGACGCGGCTCGCGTCGAGCCGCGCCGTCAGAACCTGAACGTGGACTGATAGGCAGGGACAGTGTGCCCCTGCCCGCGTGTTCCATAAGCCCACGTGGCCCGCATATGGGCTCCAGATGGTGGGGACCAATCGGCAGAGGGGCCGCTCACACCATCGCGGAGACGCCGCCGCCACGCCGGCAGCGACGGCCCGTGTGCTCGCTAACATGCCCGGATTCCCCACAGCCGGTCGTCAGAAGAGATGTCTGAGTCTGCAGAGGGCACAGAGGGCCACCGTACTCTGACCATTGTCGTCGCACTCGCATTTTGTTGTTCATACTTTATATGACAGCACTGTATATCGCATTGTATACTGCACGTATTCACATTGCATTCGCATTTCATCCCGGAGAGACCACTTTTCAGTTGTGAAGAGTCATCCTTCTTCGGCGCCACGAAGCGACATGCCGTTTTGTGTTCGCCAGGGGCGTGCTGGCTTCGTCGCATCATCTGGCTCCTGGTCATCACCAGCCTGCTGGTCTGGCTGTTCTTCCAGCTGCAGCACTGCATCGAGCGCGCCATGGCCGGCGGCACGGTGCGCAGCTGGTCCCACCAGGTGGTCACCAACATCACGGTGCCGGCCATCACCGTCTGCCACGGTAACGCCTTCAAGAAGAGCCAGGTGCTGCGGCACGTCCAGGAGAACGTCACGTGGTCGGACTGGCGACGCCGTGGCTTCAGCACGCTCAACTGGACAACCTTCGACGGCCTGGATGACTTCTATGGCAGGGTTACCTACCAGTGGGAGGACATGGTGATGATGTGCAGAGTGAACGGCAAGGCCTGCAGGGAAACAGGGACGCTTCAGCAGGCAGGATCCGTGCAGCATGGACTGTGCACCACTTTCAGCACCAATGAGGTCGTCACCACGCGCTTCACCGGCGGCCAGATCGTCCTATATTTGGAGGAACAGGAAACTCTGGGCGACTTCGAGCACGACGGCTGGTTGATCTACTTCCACGGACCGGACGTCGCCTTCAACGACATAGTCTTGTTCACCGGCCAAGCCAGCCGCGTGCGGGTGTACAAGAGCCGAAAGCATCTTCTGAAGCTGAGTCGCGTCACTACCACACAGCAGCCTCACACGAGCGGATGCCGCCGCGAAGCAAGCAACCTCCAGTTCAAGCTTTGTCTCGGGGAATGCATACTGGGCGCGATGCATGCGGACAGCACTTCGTGCTCAGTGCCGTGGATTCCGCCTGCGCACTACCCACATGGCACGCGATCGTGCGCAAGCTTCGCGGAGCTCCGCAACGCCAGTCGGGACATGGTCCTCGGCATCTCGGAGGACGACTACATCCGGTGGACGAGGAGCTGCTGGTGCCCGCCGTCGTGCACCACCGACCAGTTCGAGATCGAGGGCCAGGAGAAGTGGCACGCGGCCGAGACCTCCCTGTACGTGGACATGCCGTGGCTGAGGAACCGCAGCATGGCTGTCCTGGAGCTCTGGCTCTCCGACGTCGTGGTGCACATCACCGAAGTGGACGCCTACCCGTTCCAGACGTTCATGGCGGAGGTGGGCGGCAGCCTGGGCCTCATGCTGGGCGGCTCCCTGTTGACCCTGGTGGAGTTCCTCGACTGTGCGATCCATTCCTGCTGGCGGAAGAAGAAAGCTGCGATCCACTCCTGCTGGCGGAAGAAGTAAGCTGCGATCGACTCCTGCTGGCGGAAGAAGTAAGCTGCGATCCACTCCTGCTGGTGAAGAAGAAGCTGCTGGTGCCCAGTCGATCGACGACCTCGCTGCGCAGCTGGATCGGTAGTCTCAGACCTCGGCCATGGCACCGCGCGTAACGGCTTGAGCCGCCACGGCCTGGCCTGGCTTAAAACCTGTCCCTCCGCACTACTGCGATAAACGAGCCGCACAATACGTGTCCTACGCTGCTATTACGGGCGAGGCCGCAGGTCAAACGAGTCCCTACGTCAACTCGCAGAGAAATCTACGGCTTTAGTGGCGCCGTCTGGGCCAGCGAGCAGTAAAAGAAAGCCAAGGCTTTTGAGCGGTTTTTGTCACCATTCGCACTGACCTCACGTATCATACTACAGGTGTCCTGGCATCGATGCCATCCACAGCGTGACCTGCCGCTGTGAACGGCCCGCACAGGGTGGTCGTGTGGAGACCGAGCAAGGACAGAGTTGTCTCAGTGGCTCGCCTCCGACACTCTCCTCCAAGTGGTTCTCCTCCTCCGTCGGGAACCACTTGGCCATGCCCAAGCACCTCATGCAATAGCGGTGACTTTCTCCAATGGGGTTAACCTATCTTCCGTTGAAACCAGCCCGAACGTTTTGATCGCGACTGTGGAATCGTGATCTTTCGTAATCGTGAATCGTGATCTCCTCCGCCAATTAGCACATGATCTATACCCTATCATTCTCCTCCGAGAGTGAGTTGAACATGCACTGAATACACGTGTAACCCAGCCTTTTCATCGTCATCGCAGCCTACCGGCTGAGCTTTAATGGCTGTCTTTGGCAGCAGTGTGGTGCTGCGTGTATCCAGAGGACCACATCCAAGTCAGCGAACACAAAGCGAGCAGACTGATGCATTTCTAATAGCAGTTATCAACACACATTTTACCTCAGCGGTTCCGGGCCTATCTGTTCAAAAACGCGGATATCACTGCCTTAAGAACGCAGATAACGTCGCTGGTGGCCGCGGTCATCAAAGGACCATGCCCCGGGGCGAGGTCATCGCTGCGCCGACCGAGTAGCCTTGGCGGGCCGGCCGGCCGCCATGCTTCGAGTGCGGAAAGGGGTGAGTGCTCTGGACTCGTCTTGGAGTCTAGTCGAAGCCTCTGAGCTTAGAAGTCTGGAAGTCTAGAAGTCTAGAAGTCCAGACGAGTCTCGGAGTCGGAGTCGGAGAGAGGGACTCGCACGCAGCCGTGAACAGTGTCGTTGGCCAGCTTTAACGAAGGGCTACGACTAACGTGAAATCGAGCCTTGCGGTTCAGAACTGTTGCTGAGTTTTAGGAAGGCATGGGTCCATCAGTACGCTCGTATTTGAATCACCGCCAAGGCGTTCACCTCACCCACCGCCTGATCCCGAGTCCCTGCGGCGCCCCGTCCCACAAGACGGGAGGGTGGGGGGGGGGGGGGGGGGAGTAGGTGGGGCAGCTTTGAGCCGCTCTGACGGGAGTACCCCCCTCCCCCCCTTGCCAGGACACCTACGCAAACCTCGAAGTCGGGTGCCTGTGTCGGAAAAGCCTCGACGGCGATGGCAGCCCACCATGGCCTTAGTGGTGCCCCGCCAGTGAACTCTCTCAACACTTGATGCTCACCACTCCTCATCGCATCGTTCTGAACCGATTAAACCGGTCCTGTGTATGTATAAGTTGCGTACAAGGGCATATGTAATGGTTTAGCCGTCGAAAAATTCCTTTGCTCGCTTCTGCAGCAGTTAAGTGCTTAGCTGCAGGTGACGTTGTAACACTGCGTGTGAGGTCAAGGCCTCGCCCGCGGCTGTGACGCCCCGACCCTGACTCCTGGCGGTCGTGTCGATGCTCGTAGAAAAAATTATATATATATATATATATATATATATATATATATATATAGTTTGTGTATCTAGACATATATATGCATACACATAAAATTAAATATATAATTATATATATATATATATATATATATATATATATATACATGCATACTAAATTATGTACACATATATGTATAATTTAGTGCCTTTTTATTTAATAGCGTTATTGACACTAATCGGCTCGGCAAAGACAGCTACATGGATATGTTTCTATAATAATGCGATTTCGTAAAATTTTACTAAACTCAGCCAAACCCAACACGGCACCCACCCTCGGCCCCCTGGTGCAGAAATATTCAAAAGATGAGCGGCAGCGGCTGGAGCATGGTAAGTCAGCGCTAGCAGGGCTGACAACAGCTGTCCATTCTGCCCGGACATTGTGGCGCGGTGTGGGTGTTGGTTCTTGCCAGTTGCTGGAGATGGAAGCTTTTGGCCGACAATATTTATATCCCTGGTCGACTCGCGAGAAAGACTGGCACGAGCGAGCTCTGCACTGGTCTTAGTATCACGCCAGCAGTGAGAAATGTGCTACAATCATGAAGACAGCCGGGACGCAACAAGCTGACCCCTGTTGGCCATATGTCCGTTGTGCGACCCACTCGAAGGCTTTCGCAGATCACGAACTACCACGAGGCGGAAACGCTGCAGCCGATGTAGAGCCCCATTATGTATGCCCCATCAGCCGATACAGCATCCCATCCCAAAGCTATCAGGACGTCTTCGTTGGAAAGTACACGGGGATGGGTCGTCGGGCGAACGGTAAGTGGCGTCTTTCAGCGACGACAACATGGCCGAGCCGCACAGCCCGCACTGCTGCTGTTGCTGGCGGTGCTGCTCCTGCTGCCGCCGCCGTGCGCCGCCGTCTCCAGCTTGAGCCCACCACCACCTCTCCACCACGTGTATTCGGCAACGCCTGGAAGCACTACAGCTGACTCGGATGTGCCGAACGGAAGCACTAGCGCCGAGCGGTGCCGCCCACCGGCGCCGCCGCCGCCGGCAGCACGCGGTGCGGTATACAGCCACTGCCGGCAGCACTCAGTGCGGTATACAGCCGCCGCCGGCAGCACTCGGCGCGGTATACAGCCGCGTATACCGGCCGGTGTCAGCGGGCCAGCGAGCTGCGGCACCGGCGCGGCGAGCGCGGCGGGCGCGGCGGGCGCGGCGGGCGCGGCCCGGTGACTAGAGTCGTGGGACGCGGGCGGCGGCGCTGTGACTAGTGGGTGAGGTGGGTGAGGTGGGCGCGCGGGCGGCCGCGGCGGCGCCCCGCACGTCGCGAGCTGCGCTTCTCGTTCACCGCTCGCCGGGGTGCGGTGCTCGAGCCGAGCCGCGCGCTCGCACGTCCTCCGCGTGACGTAGCTCGACACTCTTAACCTCGCTGACGCACAGAGCCGAGGAGTTCCACTATAGCAATCACTTTCACTCTCTTGTAAAGCACTACAGCTGTGGTGGATACTGGGTGTGGGTCTCTTTCTTCTTAAATGTATCAAACGCGTCCTAGTCACGCCCGTAGTCCAACAGTTCACAACTCTACACCCAGGCAACAGGTGGCGGCAGCAACGTCGACGTTTGGCTATAGATGGCAGCACGATCGCCTCGCCCTCAGCCGAGCGTTGTAAGGCACTTTGGTGTTTCGGCAGACCATGCGACGCCCTCGCTCCCGGTCATCCAGGGCGCTGAAAATACGTCATCAGGGTCAGCGGCGTCGCACACACACATCCCTGCTACCTTAAATACCTACGCTTTGAACTTGAGTGCCTGTGATGCGATGACAAGACAAACGGCCAAAACATAACGGCGATAAGGTGTTGATCAATCTCACACGTTTGGAAGAAGCTCTAGCCAACGCTAGCATCAGCTATTTGACTTATTTCTTGAATCCAACCGCTTTATGAGTGTCAGATGCAGTCGACAGTCCAGGAGCCCATGCGTGCATTCCCGAGCCTCATTTCCACTACCTGTGCTCGTGCAAGCGCAGCACTCACCTGATAGTTTCACACCTTCTGCACGTAGTTACCAGGGAAGGTGCCGAACATTCCAGAGCGTCCATTGGTACCGACGTACCTACCGAGCAACCAATCAGCGTTCAGCACGGCCGCCTGCATACTGTCAGACAGCCAATTGGGGCCGAACAGCAGCTGACGCAATTTACGCGAATAAAGAAAAACAACGGAAAAGCACGAGTATCATCATTTTTCAGCGCGCAGCGATATAGTCACATTTTCCATAAAAATAATTGAAAGCTGTCAAATGTGGGCAGTTGCAAGAGAGGTGCTCTGTCCCGACGTGGGAAGCACGGCGACGCCTTAACAACCTTTAACAGAACGTCCTAAAATAAATCTGTGCCGCTCGATACTCGGTCCCAACTTTATCACGCACCATTTCCCCTCACCCCCGCCCGGGCTACGCTGTCCCGCCTTTATTGGCCCCAAGTGCACCGCCCTCGTTCAAGCGCTAACTATCTACGCCCTGTCTATGTTGGTTGTCATCTACGCTCCACCTCAGTTACTCAGCACCTCTGTGTAGCATCATCTCAGACGCTATCTCTGTTCTATTTCCGCTGTGCATGTTTTTATCACATGCCGCTCCAGTCATACTTCTCCACTGATATTGTTCCACCGTCTCTGCTCTCCTCCCGTTCATCGCGCCATCTCTGCGCAGCTACAGTACCACTATCTCTGCCCGCCTCTATAGCTCTTGCCGTCTGCCCTCACCATCACCACCCTCGTCGTCACCATCATCATCAGCATCGTCGTCATCATCGTCACCACCATCACTGCCTTCATCGTGATCACTCACCATCCGTCCTCGCACATCTCTATCACGTACACCACGTCTCCGTCTCTCAGCTCCAGCTCGTCGTCGTTCTGCGGTGAGTAGCTGTACAGCGCCTTGTACCTGAAACACCGCATCCTATTTCAGGCAGCCGACGACATTGGCAGAAGGAACGACGGAAGGGGTGGATCAGACCGGGCCAAATCATGGTGTCAGCACGTGATCATGACGCTGTACGCTGCAGCAGGAACAATATGTTGCCAATGTCAAGGAAAAAAGGAAAAAAGTGCAAATTACGGCACGGATTAAGCGCGCATCGACCATGTACAAAGATGACATTGGGCGATGATAGCCACGTCGAACTTAACGGTAACACCAAATGTGACACAGATGACGCATAAATCACCCGCGATGATTGTTAACGTCTGCGCAGTGTGCGTTACAGTAGCTTGACAGCTGACGGATCAGCGCACAACGCCGTTTTTGGACGCAATCTGAACCTTTCGATTGGGTGGATTCTTGGTATCGGAGCTCACGCTGAGCACTAGCTGAGCTCACGCTGAGCTTGTGGTGTGAACTCTGACCTCACCATCCGATCGTGAAACTCCAGATTAACGAGACAAGATTTTGCGGCGAAAGCTCAACGTGCCACAATGTTCGGCACGGTTCGTCCTGTCCTGTGGCGTCCTTTGACTCAGCGGTTGTCATGGATACCTTACAAAACTATCTGTGCAATCGAGGCTTCAGAGCTGGGGAAGGGGGAGGGGCGGTACAACTCACGGGATGGGCTCCTGCTGGCTGGTGTCCACGTGCAGCTGGTTCTGCAGGCCGCCACCAGGCGAGCTTGTGGCGCCACTAGTCAGTCCGTGGGCGGCGGGCGTGCCCACCGGCTTGGCGCTGGTCTCTGGAGGGGGGGGGGGGGGGGGGGGAAGGGAAGGGAAGGTCAAGGGGCGAGTAGATGTAGAGATGTGGTGAGAAACATTTCATGGCACGCATCAGCCCTTAAGCGCGTCTTTAGAGGTCGCGGTCGCTCTCGAACCTCGTTGATGTGGTAATCCTTGGCGCAGCGAGAACATTCAAATGAGTGTTGAATTGTTTATTAAACACAGCAACAAAGGTCTCACGAACGCCGTTCTCGAACGTGGGGAATAAGCCCTCCTCTTCCAGCATCTGCGGCGCAGTTAACATTTCCGTTAATTTCGGCTATCAGTACCAGCTTCTGTCACCACAACTGAAATGCGGCAGAAATTCTCGGGCGGCAGTTGCAACCAGCGGTTGCGAACAGGAGAAAACCCATTCCAGATAAGACAGTATTAGTAGCCTTATTCCTCGTAGAATAACCAGGAAAATGGATAGATAGACTTTGATATTTCGGCTGCGTGCCTTCATCGTATCGAACAAGGCTTGTAGCCGAAATATTAATATATCTGTGTCCATTCTCGCGGTTGTTCTACGAGGAAGAAAGCTATTAATACTGCTTTATCTATATGTATACTGTCCCTCGCAAATGTACTTCACAGGTTACGTTGTTTTAAAGCCCATTCAAGCCTCATCCTGCACTGACGCCTTGGCATCGCCCATCGAGACGTTTCCGCTCTTGAACAAACCCTTGCAAACATAAGCGCATGCATCTCAGAAAAGGGGACCCAGCATTCGGCATGGGCGAAGTCGCTAACTGTCCTGGACCGGTCCGTCCTCCCATCCTCCTGCATCGGTTCGTCCTCCTGTCCTCCTGTTGCACCCGTCCTCACCATCCTAGAACAGCCCGTCCTCCAGTTCTCACATCCTCCTACAATCGGCCCGTCCTTCCTGTCCCCCCCGTCCTCATAAACCAACCCGTCCTACTGTCCTCCGTCCTTCTGTACCGGCCCGTGCTTGGTGTTCCTGTACCGGCCCGTCCTTTTCTTCTCCGCCGCCCTCCTGTACCGGCACATCCCTCCCGTCCTCTCGTCCTCCTGTACCGGCCCGTCCTCTTGTACCGACCCGTCCCCCTAAACAGGATCCGTACTCCCTGCACCAGCCCATCTCCTGTGCCGGCACGTCCTCCTGCAGCGGCCAGTCCGGCCAGCCCTCCCGACCGGCCCTCGCCACACGTACCGATCCTCTCCGGTAAAGGTCTGCCGAGCACCTCGACATAACTGGCCGGGAAGATGCCGACCTTTTGACCCAGGCGACCCTCAAACCAGTTGCTGTCCACCCGGCGGAGCAGGGTCACCAGCTCGCCTGGAACAAGGTCACGGCAGGTGAGCCCGGTCAAGGTCACAATGCGTCGGTGCCGGGAGGCGATGATAGAGGATGGGAATGACCCTGAGAGGGTGAGAATGACGTCTGACCTTTGGAGGTCGTCAGATCGCTCGAGGCAGGGGGTCACAGGCGTTAGAAAGGCCAGCACACGCTGACAGGTCGTCAGATGAAAAGAAGCGATCAGTTGTGAAAAGGCCATCGACTTCCTGAGACTGAAAGCACACACAGCGCGCAGTACACAGACGCCACCTCGCATCCCCATGTCCGACGAGCCATCGCTCCGTCCACAGAGCCGCTGGCGATTTTCGGGTCTGCTCGGTGACATCCTCCCGGGGGGAGCGTGGCCCGGTGACCTCCTCACGCGGGGGTGTGACCCGGTGACCTCCTCACGCGGGGGTGTGACCCGGTGACCTCCTCACGCGGGGGCATCGCCCGGTGACCTCCTCACGCGGGGGTGTGGCCCGGTGACCTCCTCACGCGGGGGTGTGGCCCGGTGACCTCTTCACGCAGCGGTGTGGCCCGGTGACCTCCTCACGCGGGGGTGTGGCCCGGTGACCTCCTCACGCGGGGGTGTGGCCCGGTGACCTCCTCACGCGGGGGTGTGGCCCGGTGACCTTCCCACGCGGGGGCGTCGCCCGGTGACCTCCTCACGCAGCGGTGTGGCCCGGTCACCTCCTCACGCGGGGACGTCGCCCAGTCACCTCCTCACGCGGGGGTGTGGCCCGGTGACCTCCTCACGCAGCGGTGTGGCCCGGTGACCTCCTCACGCGGGGACGTCGCCCGGTCACCTCCTCACGCGGGGGTGTGGCCCGGTCACCTCCTCACGCGGGGTGTGGCCCGGTGACCTTCCCACGCGGGGGCGTCGCCCGGTGACCTTCTCACGAAGAGAGGGCGTGGCCCGGTCACCCCTTCACGGAGGAGCGTGGCCCGGTTACTTCCTCACGCGGGGACGTCGCCCGGTGTCCTCCTCACCTTTCTTGAGCGATAGCTCGACCGGTGTCTGCGCGTGGAAGGCGTAGCGGGCACGCGCCTGGCCCTCGTTGCCCAGCTTGGGCTGGCCGCGCTGGCCGTCTATCGGCACCACCTGGCGGCCGGCAGGTGAACCACACGTCAGCGTGCCGAGCGGTGTTGCCACCTCAGCGGCGGAGGCGGGAAAACTTCCCGAGGCCGGAATCGAACCCGCGTCTCTCGATCCCATGGCGACAGCGTTAGCAATCAGCGCGTGAACGGCGGATGCGGCGGGGGCTAGAGTCTGCTAGAGTCTGCCAAACAACTGTTCATGCCCATGTCCATGACAATGTCCTCAGCAGGGGACGGTGTCGTAGACTGCTGGCCACCTGTTGGACTCCCGTAACCGTACTCCAAAGATTCCAAGTCGCAGGACTCTTGAGTCGCATCGCCTGCTGAGATGGCGCACAAAGGCCCAAACCTGCCTCACCTCGACGTAGTTGATGGGGAATATGCCGATGCGACCATGCAGCTCTCCCTCCAGCCAGTTGCGGTCCACCTGGCGCCGAATGAAGATGATGTCGCCCCGGCTGAAGCTCAGCTCCCTGCGGGCAGGCGGCGAAGCTGAGCTAAGCTGGGCTAATCTGAGCCAAGCTACGCTAGGCTAAGCTGAGCTGGGATGAGCTGAGCTGAGCTGAGCTGAACTGAGCTGAGCTAAGATGAGCTAAGTTGAGCTGAGCTGAGGGCGGAGCTGAGCTGAGCTAAGCTGAACTAAGCTGAGCTGAGCTGAGCTGAGCTGAGCTGAGAGCGGAGCTGTCTAGTGAGAGCACAGTAAGGCAGTGACGTCAGGGCACACCATGGGACGGCCCAGCCAACCAGGTCAACAAAAGGAGCTAAGCAGTTCTCGGCAGTAATGTGAATTTCTTGGACTAGGGGGGGGGGGTTGGACTTTGTTTCCCCACCCACCTGGAGTTGGCGAGTTTCGCTGGGGACGAACCAGAGATTTTCGACAATACAGAACGCCCGAAGGACTTCTAGAAACGTTAAAATGCCCTTCCCCGAGCCATTACAACAGGACACAGAGCTTAAAAAGGTCCCACGAATAAAATAAAAATCAGAGCGTTTACAGCGACGAACAGGGGACCTTGAATGAAATGATCCCCTGCGACCCGGTTCCCCCTCCCGTGGCAAAATCCTGGCTACATCACTGCCTCTTGGGGAATTACCTTTTCAGGTGCGGCTGGTGTCCACCGCGGTGATGAACGCCGCAGTATACTAAGCCGAACTTGTACACAAATAATAAAAATAATCTGTCCTTCACGTTGGCTCATTTGGTTAGAGTGCGCGCCCTCCGATCTGCCCGCCCGTGGCGGGGTGGGTTCGAGTCGTATATGGCACTCGCTATTTGCCCTTGACAGTGACAGCGGCCGCGCTAAAGGTCAGATGACGTCAGGAGGCGGGGAGGACCGTGCCGAGCATCGCGGCATGTTAAGCTTTCGCCACTAAATTCTGCCGGTGTCCGGAACTGCGCTATCGGATGGTAGGGGCCAGAACTCACACAAGATCCCAGAAATCCGTCCACCGAAATGGTTCGGATCAAATCTTCAAGAAAAAGAACGCAGCAGGTGTGGACAGCTTCGCCCCGGGCGGCTTACCGACTGTTGATCGGTTTGAAGCTGTGTAGGGCTTTGGCGGCCATCTTGGTGTCCCCGCCGCGGCTGCTGCGGATGGTGACGTCATCGAAGAGGTTGTCATAGCGGTTGAGCGGGATCGGAGACTTCTGTGCCGGCCTGGCGGCGTGGGAAGCCCCTCGTCGATATCACATAAGACATGACGACAACAAGACAGAAACATCAGGCCAACAAAGAGCCACAAGGGCCATGGAGGTTGGCCTACCCCAGGTTCAGCACACATGCTCGGCACTAATTTTATCGCATTTCCTGCCTAATTTAGCCATAAATGAGGTCCTAGACCGATAGAACTTGTCCAAACGATTGTTTTTTACTGTTGCTAGAGAGGGACTTCCTACAACTTCGTTTGGCAGTCCGTTCCAACGATTCACTACTCTTTGATGAAATAACATCGGCCTCTTCATAGTTCTACTCCTCCCTTTTCCAAATAAAACTGGTTTTATCAAGTCTCGGCCTAATATCCAGTGATCCTTGTATATCTTTCTTGTCCATCGATTCCCAAATCCTGAATGCCCCATCTGTCTGTAATATTTTAGTGAATACAAATCTATGGCCCTGAGCATATTCTTAGATTCTGAGTTGCCAATCCCATGTATCATGCTAGTTGCTTTTTGCTGTGCTTTCCCCAGGCCATATGTGTCTTGTTGGACGCATGACGGCCCAACGGATACACAATACTCTGCGTGTGGTCACTGAATGAAGGAAAAGTCCACGTGAGACAAGGAACCACGCTAGGATTATCCTGCCACAGTCCGGGAAAGGCCCTCATTGTGCGAAGTGCAAACGGCCTGGAGCTGCTGGCCTTTTAGCGCAGTTAGCACAAACAAAGCGGATTCGAGAATGTCCGACGACCAGCCGGGACCGTCAGCCAGCAATATCCGGAGCAGTATGTCAAAGCGGGTGCATCGGACCTGGTAAGAAATGTGTTGTGACCACGGCACTCAATGTCTCTCGACGCTTCTCGTATCGTTGCTGCGTTATTGAACGTCACAGTGATCAGGACGTAAGTTGTTAGGTGCATTTGCGAAGAACGCTATGTTCAGAGATAAGACAGTACTATTAGCTTTATTCCTCGAAGAAAAAAAACGGCGAGAGGAGAGATAGATGGCTCGATGCTTGGGCTACATGTCTTTATCAAAACGAAGATGAGTATTATATACCCATATAATAACTCATGATGTGCTCACTCGCAGATGAGTAATCTATGCTCATACTCGTTTCGATAAAAGCATGTAGCCGAAATACCAACGCATCTTTTTAAACCCTTTCTTTATCCTCTCCTTAGTTTTCAGTCATGTCATTGGCTTTTTAGTTCTATATCGTTTGGTCCGTTGCTCGGAAGATGTTATACCCAAATAACCCGTAGTTCGGCCATGCACCAGCCTTCTCTGATCATGGGCACCATGTGGATCATAAATATGATCAACCGAATAGACAAAGCTATACCAAATTGTACTATTTGGGTACGATGCAGCAACAGGCAATACACATACGAACGGGTGACCATAGATGGAACACGTAGCAGCATTTCGTACGTGATGCATTTCACAGTTGCATTTCAGGAATTTCGGGTCAAACGAGAACAGAAAGCGACCCAAGGAAAATTAACATTGCCAGCAAAAGCAAGGAGGCAACTTTGTCTGTGTGGATACATTATGTTGTGTAACGAAAACTGACGCGAATTTACTGCGAAGAAAAAAGAAGTGGAACATGGTTGTCCAACGTCCTCACAATTTTCTAACGTCATCATTCTTGAGATTGTTGGATCGTTCCCTTGTCAGCTCATTTTCGAGTGCAGATTTGTACGCCGGCCGGGGAAAATCAAAGAAAATTCGCAAATGCGAAGCCTTCATCTACACCGAATAAGGCATCAGACGACACCCGCCAATACGAGCATCGGGGGATTATTGGGCGCGGTTATATCGCAACTTCCCATCCAGCTTTCAAGGATCAATGCCTGTGCCTTAACGCAGTACTTGTTACGCAGACGACAAAGCACCAGAGGACTTCCACAGCCTGCCACAGTTCCGGCTGCCACGGGCCGGCACGAGCAGCCCTGCCTACTCCTTCTCCAGCGTGTTCACGATGCGCCCCTCCGGCTTCGCCTGGTCCCGCACCCAGTGCAGGCCGTTCTTGCGGTAGAAGGTCTCGTTGATGACGGAGACCGTGGCGAACTTGGGCCCCTTCAGCAGCGCGTCGCGGCCGCCCCAGCCGTACTGCCACGACGTACACGCTTCGAACGGGAACTTCTGGTCCGGGTACAGCTTGTTGCGAGCGCGCAGGTACTGGTAGCGCCCCTCGCCGTTGTACGAGATGCCGTCATACAGCAGCTCCTTCGTCTTCGCGTCGGGCGGGAACATGTCCAGAGAGACGGTTGAATCGGGCTTCTTCGGGAACGGCGGCGGAGGTCGCTGCTTCTGCATGTGGTACTGCTTTTCGATGACGTAGCTGCTCGCTGGATGTTCGATGGTGGGAATCTTCTGAACGTTGAAACGCTCGCTGGGTACCTTGACATCCGCCAGCGAGGGGTCGTGGATCATTCGCTGGAACTCGGTGTCAAACTTCATGGCCCATCGCATGCGAGTCTCCGTCTCGTTGTGGATGGACTCCTTCCAGAAGTTCTGCCACTGGGTGTCGACTGGCATTGTGCGCGGCATGGTGGTGACTTTGTTACGGAAGTGATGAGGTTAATCCGATGCATTCAACGCGCAATTTTGGTATTTGATGCGAGCAAGCTAAAAAAAAGTTTGTCCGCCTAGTCGTTGGCAGGAAATTTGGAGACAGCTGGAATTTTGGGAAAAATGTGATCACGAAAGACAAACGACGGACGAACGATTCTTCAATGAATGCGAGGACAGCCTCGGTTTTCAGAAGCAATGAAACTAACAGCACGTGCTGTGTTTTGGCACAGTGCTAGCGTACAAATAATTCGCCTGACGGTACGGAGCAAGGCAGCATGAACTATAACAACCAAAACAGACAGGACTGAAATGCCGACATCTTAGCACTGGTAGCATACCCACGACGTTTTCAGCCACGAATGTCATATCGAGCATGACTTCACAACAGCGGTTTTTTCATTTGGATTTGCTGTCAGAGCTGTGCAGGCCCGTCAAGATGCAAAAGCAATGCAACGGCATCTAGCAAACTTGAAACCGGAACCAAACGGCAATGTTTGCTTGCCCTGATCAGGTCCACAAAAACAGCCGACGCGAAGGTGCCACCCTGCCAACAGCGGTCCTGATGACTCTGGGCAAGAAACAGCCATGCCAACATCCCTTGTTACGCAGCAGGCCCGGTGCTTCGTCACTTGGGTGAAGTCTTCAGCGTGCTTCGTGACCCATGTGAAGCTGTCGCCATGGGTGACCACCTCACTCACGTTAAGAAATCGCCGTAAAGGTTCCCGTGACTCACTACGGAGACGTCAGTATGAGCGCCCCCGCGACCCACACCAAGAAGTCGCCACGTGCGACCCTCTGATTCACGTGAAGAAGTCGCCATGACCCACCCGTGACTCATGTGAAGAAGTCGCCATGAGCTGCCCGTGACCCACGTGAAGAAGTCGCCATGGCCGACCCGTGACTCCCGTGAAGAGGTCACCACGCGCGGCCCCGTGACTCACGTGAAGAAGTCGCCATGACCCACCCGTAACTCATGTGAAGAAGTCGCCATGAGCTGCCCTGACTAACGTGAGGAAGTCGCCATGAGCGACCCGTGACTCACGTGAAGAAGTCGCCATGAGCGACCCGTGACTCACGTGAAGAAATCACCGTGTCGGCGCCTCTCCAGATCCTCCAGCTCCTGCAGGTAGCGGCGCCGGCGCTCCTCCTCCAGCTGGCGGCGCGCCTGTTGCTCGCGCCACTCCTCGCCGCCAGCCGCGTCGCGTTCGTCACGGCGCGCGCGATGCGGTGAAACTGGCGCAAGAGGCGCAAGGTCGCGGTTAGAAGATATCGCGGAGGCTCTGTGGTCGGGTGGTCGTGTCTAAGCTCGTAACTATAGCTGCCGTGCACGTGGAAGAGCCATAGTGAACAGTCATAGGTGTTCACTGCGGGAGTATATGAACACGGAACACACAAGGACACATGTGGGACACAAAACACCGACGCTCCGCGGAAAAACAACGCAACGCCAGGGACCTGAAACTGGTGGACGATAACAATTGAACGAATTGATGGCCACCGTCTATTTCATTGAGTCGTCACGGCACGTTGGGCCAGTAATTGCAGAGCAGTTCCACAAAAGCGTGCTATTACCTGTAAGCTCAACGTATGTGCCTTTTTCGCTAAACAATCAAATCTGGCTTTAAACTAGCTTCAGAGCGCTTTCCGGTGTACAGACATGTAGAGCAGAGCCGTGTTACAACATCCGATTTTGAAACGCGCACACAAAGCCATTCACGCGCTCGCCAAGCACAACGTCAGCCAGACGGCACTAGGAGAGCGGGGTGGATAGCAGATGGGGCATGCACGTCGCGGCCGTATCCTCCGTGCGGGCTGGCTGACATAGTGGCGGCGCGCGCCGAGCACCGGCTGGGGAGGCGATCGAGTGCCTTGTCCTTCCTTCGAGATTGATGTCATCGCATGATCGCGGGCTGGTTTTGACTCGAAGCTGCAGACCGACTTGTAGCCAGGCCGCGCTGCGGGTCGGGTCGGACAGTTGCACGCTGGTTATGTTACTACGCTGCGGGCTGATTGCGTCACGACGCCGCGCACCCCTGCTCTAGAAAGCTGCTGGCCGAAACCGCCCACACCGCCGCGCGCGGTCTTCTGCTTCAACTTCCGCTTCAACTTCTTGTCAACCGCCGTCTGCCGCGCCCCCTCCCCTCCCCCCCCCCTCGCCGTTGCTGTAGTACGCGATGGAGCCGCGCGGCAGCTTTGATACCGGCCGAGTTCAAGGAAGCGCGGCACCCCCGAGCAATCTCGGCCGCGGCCGCCGGACCAGAGGCGTTCGCAGGGATGCATGTTTGAGGGGAGTGTAACAAGCCATACTATGTCGCTGAATGCACTAACGTACTGCAACAATTTAGTCACGAAGGCACTGCATTAACAAAGAGTTGAAAACTGCGTTCGCATCGCTCAATGAGTGTGTCCCCCACCTGGCGGATATTGGAGTTTTACGGCACAGTCAGGTGCTGTGGCCAAATGGCGCCGCCTGTCTCGCACCTTCGCAAGCCAGATGTGCACGGAATCGTCCCACAAACCGCCCCGGATCGCTGGCTTCCCCGACGCGCAGCTTAACAACAACACTATTGGCACGGGTATCCCCCAGCTTTACCGGCCGCTGCACGAGAGCGCCCCCTGCCAGCTTCGGGCGGCGGGACGGCGGTCACGTGACGGGCCAGACTAGGGGGGGGGGGCGGGGCCGCGCCTTGCGCCATTCACGAGTCGCGAGCTGGGGGAGGGGAAGGGGGAGAAGCCGTGCCGGTTGGCAGAGGAAGGCCACTGTCGGGAATGGACTGTTGGGGGACCGACTGCCAATCGACGGTGTTTAGCTGGTGTTTGTATAATACGAGCAGGTGCAGGACGTGTCTTGATAGATCATTACAGGCCAATTTGCGGTGGTGATTTTTTTATATTAGCATGCTGTAAGCATAAAAGGTGCATTTTAATTTCAAGCTCAGAGCATGCCAGTGTTATTGCAATGAGTAAACGGACAGTTGAGTAGGCACGTCAGTGACAAAGAGCACGTAGCATGCAAACAAATTCGAGAGGCATGCATCCTCCCAGCCCCTCCTGCATTCTCCTGCGGCCGTGTCTGCGGTATTTGTGACGATGGGGCTCAGCCCCCAAGCGCGGTGCGCTCTCGCTGCTGGGCCGGCCGATCGCCGAGCGACTCACTCATTGGCCGGTCGGGAATAGCGCTGGTGGACATCGACTTCGGGATGGGACCAATCACCGGCTCTACAGGAGGAGGTCGCGTGATCAAGGTCACGTGATCAGCCGCCGAGCCGGGTCTTCGCGCCGCGGTGGTGTCACTAGTCTTTGGGGCGTGACGTGATGTGACGATTGTCTAGGAAGTCAGTCCACCATGCACAAAAGACTCCATTTTGCATTCAGTGGTGCGAACGCACACAGAAGAACTTGCACAGATACTTAACAAGCGTCGTCCGACGCCATCGCAGCCTCGTATTCGATTTCAGGTTCTACCAATCTAGAAGTCGCAAGATATGCTTGATTAAAGGTTCTACCAGTCTAGAAGTCGCATGATATGCTTGATTAAAGGTTCTACCAATCTAGAAGTCGCATGATATGTAATCACGTGGACATCGCCACAACGGATCTAAAAATTACGACATGAGCGTATAACACTTCCTCTCTGATCAACAATCGCAACGTGCACACAATGTAACCCAGCCGTGAAGGACAAAAACGACATGCACACAATTGCCGGCGAAGTTATTTCGCCGGCAGTGGTGTGTTATTAAGCAAAACTACCACACCCAACTGCTTGTCTTCATCACCCGTTGGTTTTGTGAAGACTCGTGCCTATAAACCGGTGCGCATATAGTACCAGTGCCATCATGTAGCATGCTGGATATATTCTGCAACCACGCCGATACGGATTTGACAACATGAGAGTGCTGTGGTCACTGTAGAGGTGCGTACTCTAGCCCGCCTATTGAGGAAAGCTTTAACCAGTCTATAAATTTAAGCCTGTTTGGCGCTCAGTGTATGGGGTGCTTCGTTAATGAATTCGGTGCACTTCTCAGATTTCTCCTTGCTAGGCTTGCTTACCTTTCCAAGTGACGTTGCGCTTTCTGGTGCGCCAACGGTTGTACGCCCTCACTGCGCATGCGTCGCAGTGCCAGCGCCGACTACTGGCGTACGGCTGAAACCCAAACTGCGCTGGACGGCGACAGCTGGCGCTAGTGGAGCGGGTGGGCGGGACGTAACGGCCCACCGGCCGGTGGATAGACCAGTCGCGCGGCTCGCCGGCCCATGCCGCCCGTACGTGATTGGGCGCGGTCGCGGCGGGGGCGGGGCCGCTGCGCGGCGGCGAGCAGGGCAGCGGGGTGGACGTGATGAGCGGCGCGGCGCTGAAGCACGGCGACTCCGTCCCTTGCGCGCTGATTGGTCGGAACTGGCGCGACACGTCCTTGTAGCGGCCACCCGGCGCCAGGTCGACGCCCGCCGGCCGGTCTCGCTGTGCCATCACGTTCACCCTGCCCAGGTCACGCGCGAGCCGGCCGGACCACGACACGGGCTCACTGAGACTTGGGCTCGAACTGGACCTCCTCGCCGTCAGAGCGCCCGCCTCCTCGGCGCCCTGTAGGCGTCGCTTCAGTCGATCCACCTCCCCGCGACGAACGCGGCGCAGTGTCTCCCGCTCGCGTTCGACGAACGAGCGCAGGTGCTCGAGCTCCTCCTTCTCGCTGGTCGGCCGACGCAGGCGGCGCTGCAACTCGACGATCTTCCCCAGGATGCGCGTGCGCGAAATGTACTGGCCGAGCTGGCGCAGGTTGCGCGGCGGGCTCCAGCTGCGCGATCGCGGGCTGACGCGGCCGGCCGCCTCGAACTGACGCGTCAGCGAGCGCACGGCGCCGACCGGCGGCGCGCCCAGCTGTGGCAGACTCGCCGCCTTGCTGAGCCGCGGCGCCGGCACCGGCCGGCGCGGCAGGTAACGGCCGGCTTCGAGAAGCGTGCGGATCCTGCGTACCTCTCCCGGCGGCGGCGACGGCGATCCGGCGCCCGCGTCGGTCCCGCTGCCGCCCGGCTCGGCCAGCCGCGGCGGCGACGCGCTCGGCACGCGCAGCGGCGGCCCGTAGCGGCGCGGCGGCGAGCTGCTGGCGCGGCGCCGCGGCGGCGAGAACGACCAGCCGCGGCCGACCGGCGACGCCGAGCGCGAGCGCGCGAAGTCGTCGAACGCGAAGCGGAAGTCGTCCTCGTAGCGGAGCGCGTCGTGCTCGCCGAGCGCCGCGCGCCGGTCCAAGTCGACGGAGGAGGCCGACCGCTCGGGCACGTAGTCGGGCGAGAGGAACCGCCGCCGGTGGGCGCCGCCGCGCCGCGTCGCGCACGGCAGCGAGCTGAAGCGGGCCTCCTCCGCCTCCGCGGGCCGGCCGGGCGCCGAGAGACTACGGGGAGAGCGGCGCTCGGCGGCGCAGGCGGCCGCCTCCGCATCGCTCCGCTCCCAGTGGTACACGGCCGTCTCGACCGCGGCGTCCGGCGCCGGCGTCGGCCGCTCCACCACCGTCTGCAGCGAGGACTGCGAGCTGGATGCAGGCGCCTCGACGGCCGGCTGCGACTCGCGCTCTGGCGCCGCGCCGCTCGGCGCCAGCGGCCGGCGCAGGCGCGCCAGGCGCCGCTCGCGCAGCCGCTCCGACCGCTCCACCAGCCGGCTGCGCTCCTCGCGCGTGAGCGCGGCGCGCGGCAGCGAGCGCGCGCGCTCGCGCTCCGGCGTCAGCACCAGCAGGAACTCGTGCGCCTCGGCGCGACGCTCGCCCTCCTCCGAGAAGTCGACCGAGTAGCACGTGCGCGGCGAGGCGGCCGAGGCGGCCGGCGAGGCACTCTTGGAACGCGACTCGCGCGCCGGCCGAGGCGCGAAGCGGTCGGCCACCTCGCGCGACAGCGCCAGCGAGAGCCGCCGCCGCTCGGCCTCGGCCTCCGACTCGGCGCGCATCTGATGCACAGAGCCGGGGCGCGCCGGCGTCGACTTCGGTTGCGGCGAGGCGGCGCACCGCTCGGGCTCCGACGCCGGCCGCACGCGCAGCGTCGTCGCCGCGCCGGCCGCCGGTCGGCTCGCCACGTCCACGTAGTGGCGCGGCTCGCTACGACTGCGCGTCGACTGCAGGCTCGTCTGCGAGCCGTAGATGCCGTTGAGGCGGCCCTTAATGGTCTCCATCTGACGCGTGGAGAGCGAGCTGAGGGAGCGGCGGACCTTGGTGCCCCGCTCAGCGTCGCGCTCCTGCGGCGCGCCGAGGCACTCGGCACGCTCCCGCTCGCAGATGTCGTCAAACTTGCGCTTCAGGTCCTCGACCGAGCGGTGGCGCCGCTCCAGGCTGCGGTCGCCGCTCCATTTGTCGCTGAGCCTGCTGGAGAAGCGGCTGTAGAACTCGTGGCGCCGCTGCGCGCCGTCCAGCTCCTCGCAGATGCGCTTCATCTCCGAGAGCGCTCGCTCCTTGGCGCGTATCCGCTTCCACGCCTCGTAGCTGGGGAAGGCGCGCCGGCCAGGCAGGCTGCACGCGTCCGTTAGCCGCTCCAGTTCCATCAGCCTCTCCAGGCTGTGGTAGTGCCGCTTCAGGCGCTGGAAGTGCGGCGACTTCCTGCTGGCACGCAGCAGGCGGAGCACGTACTGCCGGTACTGCAGCGGGTCCAGGTAGGGACTGGGGCTGACTGCGCGCATGCTGCGCAGGCTCTCCAGGCTCAGGCTGACGGGGCGGCGCAGCGGGCGCGCCGCCTGCTGCGCCACGTGCTGGAGGTCGCGCGACAGCGAGGCGCTCAGCTCGCGCACCAGCGGCGGCGCGCGCATCTCGAGGTCGGGGCTGGACAGCGTGCTGCGCAGCCGCTCGAAGTGGTCGATGACCCCGCGCACCGGTGACGCCTCGCGGTCGCGCCGGCGCCGCCGTCGCAGCTCGTCCGCCTCCATCGCCGCCACCAGCTTCTCCAGGTTCTCGAACTTGTCGCGCAGCGAGCTGGCGATGCCGCGCGGCGGGCTGGCGGCGCCGCGCAGCGCCAACTCCGTCGCGTTGCGCCGCGTCTTCAGCATCGGCACGTAGGTGGCGCTGCGGTAGAGCGGCCGCAGCGGCGGGCTGCACTCCATGCTGTCGTAGCCCGTCTCGGTGCTCGTCGAGAGGCCCTTGGCCGGCGAGTGAGCGCTACTCGAGCGCGGCGACGCCGCCGCCGAGCCGTCGCCGTCGCCGCCGCGCGCGCAGGACTTCGCCGACCGCGGTAGCGTCGCCGACCTGTACGGAGAGAGCGGCTGTCGGCGCGGCGCCTGGCTGGCGCGAGCATGGGACGCGGCGTGCGCACTGCGAACCGCGCCACCGCCGCTGCCGCCGCCGTCAGCCGAGGCGCCACCGCAGCGGATGTGGCCGTACGGAGATCCGGGCGCGCGCACCGTGGCGGCGCGCGTGAGCGTGCGACCGCGCGGCGGCGCCGGCCGGCTGGCGAAGCTGCGCGCGCGCGTCACCGCCCGCCCGCCGGGCGACCTCGCGCGCGCCGGACCGTGCTCGCAGACGTGCTCGCGTCCGTGCTCGCGGCCGTGCTCGCGGGGCGTGCTCATGCGGCCGTAACTAGAGGCGAAGGTGGGGCGGGCGTAGCTGGCGGCGGCCGAGCCGGACACGAGCGAGGGAGAGGAGAGCGCAGGGCGGAGCGGCGCTGACGCGAGCCGTCCGGGCCGTGCCAGACTGCTCGGCGGGCTGAACACCCTGCCGCCGGTGGAGGCCGGGGCTCGTCCGCCGGCGCCTCGCCACGACTTGACCGTGCTTTTGGACGGCGAGCTGACCAGCGACGAGCACACGGAGCTCGTCTTTGACGAGTCGGCCGTCTTGTTCGGCGACGAGGGCGGCGAGCTGGCGCTGCGGCGCGCCGCGCCCGCCGCCCGCCGCGCCGCCGGCCGCGCCGGTGCGCGTGCCGGCGCCGGCGCCGACTCGACCGCGGCGCGCGGCAGCGAGCGCGACCGCGGCGGCGGCGGCGCGTTCCAGCCGCGCTCACGGCGGCGCAGCGCTTCTTCCTCCTCGCTGTCGGATCGGGCCGGCCGGCCGGCGCGGCGCTGGCGCGCTTGCCGACGGCCCGGCGCCGCCGCCGCCGGCTCCTGCTCTCGTCGCGACCGGCGCCGGCCGGCCAGCGTCGCCTCCGTCGGCAGCGACGCGCCGCCAGCCCGACCGGTGCCGGCACGCTCGGCGCGCCGTCTGGGAGAAGCATCGCCATCGTTCTCGCCCTCCCGCGTGACAGACGGCGACCTC